CCCCCCCCCCCCCCCCGCCCCGCCTGTGCCGAGCGCGGCAGTCTACAATAGCAACTGCTGTGACGGCGAAACGAACATGGCCTACATCTACGTTGCATGAGATACCCCACCCGCCTGAACCGGTTTTCAAAGCTCCAGTATTCTGCAGAAAAGGCAGTGACGGTGCCGAAAGTGGCGGAGGGGGAACCGTCTGGCCAAGAGCTTTCCGAAAACGAGATCGTCTAAGTTCGGCATCCTCTTCGTCGCGAAGCAATCGAGCTTTCAAAATGGCTCCAGGGAGCGTGCTACCCCACGCAGTCTCTACGGCAATAGACCGCCTTCCACGCCGCGGTGGACAAGTGCAAGGGCGAAAACCACACACGAAACACACAAACCTCTTGGAACGTAGTGAGCATGGCAGCCGTGTTCTGCGCGGACTTGAGGCGTTCTGCGATCCGCATGCGCATGCGCGTCATCTTTACCCTCGACTCGGTGCGGTCACCGTTAGCGGCAGGGCTGATCGGCGGAAGCGCCACCTGCCAGGGGGGTATGGTACGGCCAAAATAGAGCGTGACAGGACAGCATTGCGAGCATGCATAGGGTCGAAGTAGAGCTTGATAGGCCAGATATCAGACGCATAAAGGGCCAAACTGGAGCATGACAGGACAGATATCAGTAGCATGCATACGGCCAAAATAGTGCATGACAGGACAGTGTATGAGGCAAGATTAAATGATACGTCTGCAGGGCGCGGAACAAGTCTGTTTCATCAACGCGAGCCAGGGTTGCCCTCCTTCCAAGCAGCCAAAAACACCACAAAACAGCAATGTCGACATATGGATATAAAACGGAGAACGGGGGGTGGGGTGGGGGGAAGGCACCGACTTGGAAGCACAACCACGGAAAAGCCGATCATTGTCCACGTTGGTAGCGGAGCGATCTCCTTGCCTGACTGGCTCCCTCGAGGGATGAACCACCTTTACGGAACTCTTGCACGTCGCTAGCATCGACGAACTACCGTTGAGTGGAGTTTGCATTGGAGCTCCTCCGGACCCTTGGTACCGCTGTACCAAGGCTTCTCGAGAAGCTGCGACACAACTCCGCACCAAACGACGGTTTCATTTCATTTCGTCGTTGCTACAATAACGACGTGCACCGCCGCAGAGTTGCTTACGGTGGATTATCCCTCGAGGAAGTCAGGTACGTTCGTAAGTTCCCTCGATACCGCGGTGAAAACGATTGGCAGCCGGAATTCGTCCCGACACTTTGGGGAAAGGGCAGACCACCGGCAACCAATCATTGTGATCTACTGCTCTAGCACCACGCCGACAAAAAAGTGTACCATGCGACCGATTACTCTTGACCCCCTATTGCTGCTGCAAGGGAACCAGACTCTCCAACTCCACGTAGTATTGTTTTCGTCTAAAGGAGCGGGTCCAGGTAAAGGGGACGGCAGCGTCAACGTGGATGCCTGAATCCGAAGACAGCAGCTATCTTGTCGCCGCTTCAAAAAGCGAATGGCCAAACACAGCAGTGAACTCGTCCAAAAAGCGCATCGGCACGGCCAACGACCGAGCCAAAACCTCCACACCGACTCTGTTACTCGCCTACCAAACCAACAGATTGTGCTACCTACCCGCAACCATCGTCATACGTACACACGCACCTTCTGCCCCGCGGCGGGTGCGGCAGCCGGAGCCGGGGCGGCGGCGGCGGCGGCGGGGGGGGGTGCCGGCTTAGGCGCCGGGGACGGCTTCGGGGCAGCTGCCGCGCCGGGCTCTTTGGGTGGTTCTGCCGCCTTAGGCGCTTTTTTGCGGTGAAGGCGCCGGTTGAGAACGTCCAAGGCGCGGCGGCAGGGGAATCATCGGTTTGTGCGTGTTTCTTTGACATTTATGATAGCAACGACCGGGCTGACCAGTGACACGACGTGCGGCTGAAAACGGGAGTGCTTCAAAAGGCCATGATCTGGGACCCCGTGAGGGGGGGGGCTTGATGCGTGTGTGTTTGTGTGTTTATTTGGTTGTAATTTAGCAACGACCGCGCTAACCGGTTGCTGATCACTGAAAAGACGTCGGACTAGTTAGCGGGATAAAATGACGTGGACATGCTTTCTGGCTGTGAAGGCTTGTACCGACAGGGGGGGGTTAGAACGACAGTGTGGGTGTGTTTTGTTCTTAGCATCGACTGAGCTAACCGGACTGACTAAATAATAAAAATACGGTAGTCTCGTCGCGGCGTCCCGTAACGGCTACACTGGGATGCCCAAAACGCCGCGCAAAACAACTCGAAACCTTCAAATTGTACGCGAAAAAACTACCATCACAAAGCAGTCCTCACCGGGTGCGGCCGCCGCTGCCCCTCCCCCACCCCCCCCTCCGGCCGTATCGAGCTTCATCAAAGGTGCGCCAACCTCCACGGTGTCGCCATCGGCCGCCATCTGCTCTACGAGTGTTCCCGCACTCGGCGCACGGACATCGATGCTTACCTGCGACAACCACATCAGATGGAGCCGAGTTGGGACAGTACGGTAGGGTACGGTACGGGGATACAGATCGCATAGTTTGACGGATCGATCAGGACGGAGCGGAGAGACGTTCTTGCAAGCTCCAGTCATGGAGCATGGATGTTTGGAGGAGGGTAGGAGACGGTGTATAAATAGGGGGGTAATGAGTTGCGCTTCATAGGAACGCAAAATGTTATGAAGTGAAATTTCTACAGAAAACTGAACACTAAGAAAGTTAGAGGGGAGAGGTCTTCGGGGGAAGAGGATGAGCATCAGTCTCAAGACGGAAAAAAAGAGGGGCGGAAACACCCTAACCGACCAGTAACATATATATCGTTGATCACACATAGACAACCAATCACACCTCTAGCAAGAAGGGTCTCCATCAACTAATAATCAATTGATGATTGGGAACGAACGGATGCCACAGCTCAACCATCAAGCAAATTAGAAAAGAAGGTGCAGCAGAGGTCCCTGATTACCGCCGCTTGTATGGGGCCGGCTGCCCTGTTCAAGGCAGGTGAAATCGCTTGGCACAGATGGAATATTCAAGCTTTCTCGTCCTCTGAATATGGCCGGGTGCCTATAATAATATAAGACCGGTGTTTCCCTTGGACCATAGCTTGAACAAGGACCTCTACTGAACACCTTACACCTTACCTTATCCGTCTCGAGGACCACAACCACCTCGTCCAACTCCACCGAATCCCCTGGCTGCTTGGCCCACTCGACGATGGTTCCCTCGCTGATGGAGTCTCCCATGCTCGGCACGGGAATGACCTCCTCGCTCCCTGAAGCAAGCACAGGAAAAGTCAATCAGACCAGGCGGGTCAGCGTCAAGCGAGAAGCGGGACTGGACGAAGGCCGCGCACGCTGAAACGATGTGACACCTCCGCAAGAGCTGGACTGAGAACTCGGAAGGAAACGCCTTTGTTTGACCACCTTATCCCTGCAGCGCCAACAAACGTTCACAACTATGTGCCCGTGAGAGTTGCACGGCCTACAATACGTACCGGAGGATAGATGACGAACGAAGTGGGTGTGAGACCCGCCGATCGCCCCATGTCTTGCCCATACCCCCGTCGTCGGTGCTACCCTTGCAGTAGCAGCTGCGGCGCCCCCCCTGCTACAAAAAACAAGAGAAAAACGTGCGAGAACGGCATTCGCTGCAGTACCAGAAGAGAGGGAGCACGCACTGCGGAAGAGTATCGCAACTTCCATCTCTCACGGCACTTCTGCGCGATTCGGAGAACAGACGGGGATAATGTGCACAGGTTCCGTATGACCACCTAGTTTTATCCTGAACAGAACACGCCACCCACCCCAGTAGAAGCGAACGGGCCCAGTGGAATACCCTTTTTTTAAGAAACGGTCAATCATCGAAGGAAAGAAAACAAGACGAAAAAGCGACTCACAACAACAACAACAACAACAAAACGACGACGAGAATAACAACAATACCTGGTAGTAATTAACCTCACCGCACCTGCTAAGAGCGCTCAATCGCACCGTCGCGACTGCGACAGCCGGGGCGGCTTGCCAGCTAGAAGAACGCGCGCCATGGCGGACCTGTTCGTCAGCGCGTATGCATGCAGCAGTAGCGCGACGGAATTCAGCACCGATAACGCTCAAGTACCCAACGGCGACCACGCCAATGCTTGACTGCAGAGTTGCATCGGTAAGCAGCAGCTATACTACACAAGGTATGGTATATAAACAAGGGTGGGTTTCATGAGGTGTGAGAAGAATCGGGATCCGATGACGACAACAACGTTCTTCGCGCTGCAGTGCCCAAACCCTCGGATCGAGCTCCCCTGCTTATGAACGATGAACGCGTTTTGTATTTCTTGAAGAGCAAAATATATGTTGCGGTGCAAGTGTCGAAGAAATTTACAGCTTGTCGAAGCTGAGAGCTGTCGAACGAACTGAAGCATGCGTGCTTTCGAAACCGTTCGAGGACGCGCTGGTCACCCTTCATTTACGCAGATAGCAGCTGCGGCTGTACCCCTTGGGTGACACTTCGCACTCTTGGAACATGTACACCACATCCACTGTGCTACAAGTCAGGGCTAGAAGACAGACAGCGCCGACTTCGCTACAGGACAGTCAGCGCCGACTTGTAGCACAGTGGATGTGCTGTACATCACCAGACATGGCATCAAACGTTTGGGGCACAACCTCATCTCGCCGGCGATACATTACATGTAAGCGTTTAGAAAACCATCACAATTGGCATACACTACAATACGCCCGTTCCAATATATTTGATGTAAAGATTGCTTTAGTTTCATGGCCCCATTTTTGATGCGTCATGTTGTACATACAATAACATGGTGTATAGGGGGTGTCGTGTCTCCCATGGGTGGTTTATGGCACGTCTCCGCCAACCAACCAGCAATCAACTGTCGACTTGGCGGCGTGTAGTACCGAGCACCAAGTCTTCCATCATGCAATACCGGTTCACCGGTAGCAAACAACTTTACATTGTAGACTACATTCGCTGCTGTGTTGTTATACTGCGCGATATGCTCACAGAGAGAACCGCGGGATAAGACACGAGCCGAGTGCCAATCGACCCCACACAGAGCGCAGAACGGTAGAGCCATGGAAATCTGGCCCGACCAACCGGGGGTGTAGGTCGCTTTTCAGCCGTGCTTTTCGGCTTTCGGCAACATGCCTCAACTTTCCGTTGCGGTTCGACGTCAAGGAGAGCCGTCGGCTAGGCTCGACCGCTTCACCATGAAGTTCTGCCTTTCGTCCTACTCAACTTCCTTAAATCGCCGGGCCCTGTAATCAGGCTCCAGAGTATCATCGCCCCCGAAGCCATCCGTGCGTGCACTACGCAAACCTGCCAGCAGTGCTGCTACTGGACGACTGCTGTGACGCGCCGCACAACCAAGGTGCCGCCGAACTTCAGCCAAACCGCGACGCAGCGGCCAAATAGCCGATTTGGTGACCGAAGAAAATTTTCCCGTTTTCACTGCCGTACCGAGCGCGCTTCGGCTTGCATTGCGGCAAGTGCGGGCTTTGTGCTCGCGTCGGCAGCGCGCTGCTATTGCTTTCGCCCGCGCGCCACTCACCAGTGATGTTCCTAGTCTCAGCATCCTGGGTGCCTCTCGGTGTTGTGTCTGTCCGATAACTAGCCGCTCTCAGCCGACGGTCTGGACAGCTTGCTTGCTCTGGAGACGGGATGGGAAACGTCGAGAGAGCCGCGAGACGGTCGTTGCAACGCGGGTTCTATTGCTGCTGCAGGAATATACGCGAACAACGGCGAGTGGAGCGCTGTGCGTGAAAGCTTGTGTGTGTTTTGCTCTGCGTCGCTTGGCCGTCGGCGGGTCTTTTCGAGAGGGGACTTCGCAGATGGCCGGGCATATGGGCATATACCCTCCCCCCAGCACCTCGAAAAGACACCACGCACTGCTGCAGATGCAGGATGGATGAGATTTGACATTCCTTTTCGCGTAAACAACACGGCTACCCAAGCTCCGTGTTTGCGTGTCACATACGGATCCCCAAGAGGTCGAACACTAGGGTGTGATGGGAAAACGCTTCCACTTGCCTGTCCTGCTGCTGCTTACTGCTGCTGCTGCTGCTGTCAGAGGTGCCTGCTGTAGTCATAGCAGCTCGACAGCAAAAACACTCATCTCACCGATCAACCGCACCAGACATCATCCTCTGGTAGAGGTAACAACGACAATACGCGGGGGGGCTCGAGGACGCGCTGAGCTAGGCAAAAGCAGGCGTGCACGCAGCATGACGAAGGCCCCCTCGACCGGGTTGGGCCGGCTTCGAGACGCCTTGTTTCCGATCTACGGCGGGGAGGAGACGGGCAAGTTCTTGGCGTTGGGGGGCATCCAGTTCTTCATCATCTTCGTCTTGACGCTCACCAGGGACCTCAAGGACACGCTCATCATCACGTCGTGCGGGGCGGAGGCCATCTCTTTCCTGAAGGTGTAACATGCGTGTGTACGTATGTGTTGCAATGGTAGATATGTAGATATTGATCGTCTCGCGCCTGCTGGGTTTATTCTGTTCCTGTTTCCTGACGAACGTCATGCAAGACAACGGATCATGTGTCGCAGGTCGCAGGTACCCAGGGTACAACCGTCTTTTTCCCGTTCTGGTGCAAGGTGCAAGGTGTCTGATCGACCGCGCAGGAGCCGCGGCTCCTGTTGTTCATGATGTTATGTGTGTGCAAGCACTTTCACGTTAAGAAGATGAACGAACCGCTGGTTTTACTCGCAAACCATGCACTTCCTCCCCTCAACGTGTTGGAGGAAAATCTTCTTTTTTTGTCGGGACGAAGATAATTTGTTCTGCTTGCACCCCGCACCACGCAACCAAAGCAGTTGCGGGGTTATGCTGCACTGCACACAACAGCTTGATCTATGTATAAATCTATGGATGCTGTGAGGTGTTGCGCACGATGCTGTGCGTATCAGCGTCGACCATGTTGGACGGCTGCAGATCAGGAGTAAAGTCGTTTTTGTGGCCCCGAAGGAAAAAAAAACGAGCATGTTGGCGGTCTGCATAGATGTGTTGTCTCCGACCTTCCCACGAGGAGATTGGTGCCACGATCTAACCGTTGTCTCCAGAGAGAAACAGCTGGCCATACATAGTAGAAACGTGCATGAAGGACAAACGATTAATACTAAACACAAGTACGACTTTTTCCCAGTGTCTCCTGCGTGGGCCTGTGCGGGTACATATATCGGGTGCGCTGTTTGTCGCCCTGGCACCCACCCACCCCTCCACTCAATACTCGTTCACTAAAGCCTAGCTACCCTCGATTTCGTTCTGCGGCATCCCATATTATTATAGCGGTTGCTCGCACATTTGGAGAACGGTGACATGCCTCCCTGGCTCTCGCTGTGCCGCGGTTCGACCCCCTGAACCCAACCACAGCAGTAGCCTTAGCACGGTTTTTCGTTTAAGTAAACATGTTGGATAAAGGATTCGATTGGGGAAGTTGAGGTTACGGACAGGGTCTGCGTACCCCCCCCCCCCCCCCCCTCCCTGTTCTATTTCCTCACAAACTTAATTTCTCGCGAAGGCGGTCCATCAACCCCCCCCCACCCCCTCTTCAGGTCTACGGTGTCCTCCCCGCAGCGACGGTCTTCATGCTGGCGTACTCCAAGGTCTCCACCCTGCTCTCGAAGCGAGCCCTCTTCTACGCCACGGCCCTCCCCTTCTTCGTCTTCTACCTCTTCTTCAAGCTCGTCATGTACCCCATGCGGGACTCGCTGCACCCTTCCGAGGCCGCCGTGGAGGCGCTGGTGGGTCTGCCGGAGGGTATCTCGTACGTGGTCAACCTGTACCGGAACTGGACGTTCGCGCTCTTCTACGTGGTATCGGAGCTGTATTCTTCCGTGAGTGTTTGAGCTTTATTCCTCCGTTCGTGCTGCTGGAGCTTTATTAATCCGTGAGTGTTGGAGGAGCTTTGTTCCTCCGCGAGTCTGACTGCCTCCCACGAGACGAACGTACGCGGCGCCACGTTGTATGTACCTCGGGGTTACGTAGTTCAGGATAAAATTTTAGGACGTAAGCGTAAAAACAGGTGCTACGTTGTGGGGTGACCCTATTTGCAGGATGGTCCTGCAACCGAAATGCTGCAGGATGGAAAACGCCCCCAGAACCAACCAACCACAAACCCAGAACCAAGCAGCGAACCAAGACACACAGAAACACAGTGAAACACAGACACCTGCTCCACAGACCACCACCACAGACCACATACATCATGGATATTATCGGGAGGAAGCTGCCCTTGGGTGGAGATGACGACCTGCTTTCGGACAGTAGCAGCGTCGTCGAAGTAGAGGGCGGCGCGGACGATTCCACGAGGCTTCATGCCAACTTGTTCATTGCATTGGTGAACACCCATCCTTTCATTTCCTATACCAAAGCCCCCCCCCCCGTACTTAACACAGCAGTGGCCTCAAAAAAATTGTTGTCACATAAAAAAAACGTTTCGATCTCTCTACCCAGCCTTCATAACTGTCCGTACTGATCCAATACTTGACGCGGTCGATTCCCGTGGTCACAGGCTAACTTACCCTAAAAAGGTACACTCAAATAAAATGGACTCGAGGGGTCCGCAAGCCAATTTATATCAACCACAGGTACTGCTGTAGTCTGGAGCCCTCTGCTGCCCCCTCTCTCTGTGCGCGTGTGTGTGATTTCGTCCTACTTTTTATTATGGCGACAGTCCCTCCATTTTTCGTGGTGAGACGTGTACTAGTCTACACTTTTCAGTGTGTGTAGAGTAGTACACTTTTTCAGCGTATTTTTGCGTACAACTACAACACTACAACCATCCAGGGTCACACAGGAGGGGGGTAAACACCGACACGCTGATAATGTGTCTCTCTACACGCTATGTGAGGTAAGAACTGGAACTGGGAGTCAGCATCACGGGGCGGAGACAGAGAGAGGTACAACCCCTGGTTCAACCTTGTATGGCTGCTGTGTGGGCTGTGTGTAGTCTGCCCGGTTGTGGGCTGTGTGTTTCGTGCTGGTTTCGTGTGGTCTGTGGAGCAAGTGTCTGTGTTTCACTGTGTTTCTGTGTGTCTTGGTTCGCTGCTTGATTCTGGGTTTGTGGTGGGTTGGTTCTGGAGGCGTTTTCCATCCTGCAGCATTCCGTTGCAGGACCATCCTGCAAATAGGGTCACCCTACGTTGTGTGCAGTCGATGTTGGGTTACCCCACCGAGAACGTTAGAACGAGCCTCGGGCGAAGTAGAAGCGGTTCTTAAATGGTGGATTGTGATGTACACGAAGTGCTGCCGCTGCTTCCGTACAGCGTTGCCGTTTACTCTGGAGTATGGTATTTTCGCGATGCCACTCCCTGAGGTTTTGATGTGGCTGGGGGCTAGCCGGTTCTCGTCGCACCATGTGCACGACCGATGGTTGAGACGTGCCAAACGCTCACTGGCACTCGCAGCAGCGATGCGACGGCAGTGGACATAAACTTTTGAGGTTCTACTGACCAGCTGTTCCCGTTAAACACTTGTAGGTGTTTTTCTTCTGTCCATGCACCTCTCCTTTGAGTCGAATGTCTTGCCTCATTGCGTTTTTTTCGCGCGCGCTGGCTGGCCATCGGAACCCCACTCTCCCAAAACACACGAAACAGGTTTCGATCGGGGTACTGTTTTGGCAATTCGCGAACGACATCGTCCCAGTGGCCCAGGCGAAACGGTTCTACCCTCTGTTCGGCCAGATGTCAAGCCTAGCCCCTGTCGTGGCGGGGCTTTGCGTGGTGCGCTTCACGAACGCGAAGTCCTTGGGGGGCAAAAATGTGGCGGCGACGGAGGGACTGCTGGACTTCGTGTTGGTGAGAGGGGCGGGCCTTGTTTTGTCTTTTGGAGCTTCTCCGGGCCTGAGGCTCTTGTTGTTGTTGTTGTTGTTGTCGTCGTGGTTGGTGATGATGGTGGCGGTTGTGATCATGGCAATTGTTGTTGTTGTTGTTGTTTTTGATGATGGCGACAATGATGGTGGTGGTGATGATCATGGTATTGCTGTTGGTGTTGCTTTGGTGTTGCTGTCGTCGCTGGTACTGCTGTCGTTGTCGTTGTTGCGTTGCTGTTCCCGTGGTTTCCGTGCCCGCATCGTTGTTGGTATGGCTTTCCACCACGACCGTGACGGCGTTTTCCGTCTTACCTGTAAGACTGTTGACGGCGATTGCTCGTTTCTGTGGACGACGATGGCGGTGTTGCTTTCGTGTTGCTGCTGTTGGCATTGTTGCTGTTGTTGTCGTGGTCATCGTTGTCGTCCTTGCCGTCGTGGTTGCCTTGTTCCACTGGTTCTGTGCCCGCGTTGTCGTTGGTAGAGCATTTCACCGCGGTCGTGGCAACTGTTGACAGCCAGCGCTCGTTTTATGTCACGGCAACCTGTAACAGCCAACAATAGTAGTTGTCTTGTCATTGAACAGGGTATAAATACATAAATACAACACGCGGTTCATCCGAAGTCTGCGGAGATTTCCATCTCTATTCCGTCTTTCGTACCCCGATCGAACCACCCCGTCCCTGCTGCCACCCGCCTTGCCCCTGCCTCGCCAGAACTTGGTGATGGTCGCCGGGGGGGCTATCTTCGCTCTGTACGAGGTTTCCACCGCCCTGTCCGTCCGAGAACAACGGCGGGCGGGGGGAGGAGACCCTGTGACTAAGATCGCCGCCAAGGTCAGAGCCTGTATTTCCATTTTGCAGACACTTGCGGAGAAGTTTTTCTGGGGGGAGGGAGGGGGGGCTGCCGAGACAACCAGTGCCCTACGTAGGTAGTCGCGCTACGTTTTGGCGCTGCCATGACCCCAATGACCTCGTGCAAACGGCCTTGGACGCCGTGAGCTCCTTGGTTGACGGCCGTGCTCATGTGTTGGCGGTCCGTTGATCTTTCATATGCTCAGGGGAAGAAGCCGAAGCTCGGGCTGAGGGACAGCTTCAGGGTGCTGGGCAAGTCCAAGTACCTCGGGTTTTTGGCGACACTGGTGCTTGGGTACGGCCTCTGCATCGCCCTGACGGAAGGTGCGCTTTTTCGGCGACACAACAGCGTCGTTTTTTATCATCCTTCGTCTTTTTTGGTTTTTTGAAGGTTCACATTCATATACAATCACAGCAAACTACCCGTTCGACACATGCCCATTGTGGAGGCGGGGGCGGGGGGGGGGTGAGGTGTACTCATAGTCGTGCATGCCATCGTCGTTAGACCATTGACCTCGCATCCCTACAAAGCCGGGACGGAGCACGCTGGGTTCTCACCGGACCAGGCTCTCACATCACCAAGCGCGAAGCACCGTGAGGTATTCGGCGAGTCGCATGAAGGGTGAGCTGCATCCTGCTAAGGGTGTTCGGCATCTTGTGCTTACTTCCTTGTGTACGGATGACAGCTGCGTATGACTTAATGTATTTTCTGGTGCGTTCACTTCCAGAGACAATTGTGTAAGCTCTGCGAAACTGCCTCGAGGGTGTTTGACCAATTTAACACAACGTGCGATTATCCCCTTTGCGCGGAGTGAGGGTTCTCGACCCCGCACAACATGATCTACTCGACCACCATTCATGGTTACCGCAAAAAAAAAACAAAGGCAAAAAAAAAAAGCGGTAACCTGGTCGCCGAGCTCACGAAGTGAATCGGCTTGTTTTACAACGTCGTTGCCAAGCGACGAAAACCCAACCCCGATGGCAAACACCGGGGGGGGCGGCTTGTTTTACAACGTCGTTGCCAAGCGACGAAAACCCAACCTCGATGGCAAACACCGAGGGGGGGGCTTGTTTTACAACGTCGTTGCCAAGCGACGAAAACCCGACCCCGACGGCAAACACCGGGGGGAGGGGTGGTGGGGGGGGAGTCCCTGGTGAACGTGGAAATCTCTATGCCCCCGCTTTTCGGCGGACCAGGATCATAGTCGTCGATGCTTGCCCATACATGTGGTTGATCCCCCATGAGAGAAAAATGTGGCACATCCTCGTGGATGTTTCGCAACAGCATCCTCGGGATGGAGACTTTCATCATCATTCTTCTCTTCCTTCTTCGAAAAGCTTCTCAGGGCTGCAATCAACGGCGTTTGTTCCTGAGAATTTTTCAGCGTAAAGGTCTGCGTGCTGCAGCAGTCAGTGTAGTCAGTGTGGGGTGGGGCCATGCAGCCCAGCCCTCTCTCCTACCTTGGTCCAACTTTCAGTCAAGGTTGTCGGTCGGGGAGAAGTCGAAGAAGCCATCGACGCTCGAATTCTCACGACAGTTGCAACGTGTCTACAGTGCCAATATGCAATATTTACTTTTTGCGACCAAAGCTACACGAGGGAGCTTGCGTTTGTCACCGGAGGTCGGTCGGGTTTTGGTTCTCAGGCGTTCCGTCTATAATACTGTCCTTAGCCCTTCGTGACAAAAAGCCGCATGAAAAACTGACCTTCGTGGCCTTTCGTGGAAAATACTGCTCCGCTCCCTCCTACCCCTAGTACATAGCCTGCTTATGCCGCCGCCGCTGTCGCTGCTGGTTGCGTTGCTTCTCTTGGCATGAAACCGTCGCGTCGTATTGCGGGGGCTTAATTATCGCGATCGTCGACACGCCGTCGACAGTGATGTGGAAGCGGATGGTGCAAAACCAGTTCCCCGACCCGGTTGACTACGCCAGGTTCATGGGCAAGTACTCGAGGTGAGCGGTGTTTGCAAATGTTGCTGTTTTCTATTTTTTGCAGTTGGTTGTTTTTCGTCTCACTGTAGCGGAGTATTTTTTATTCAGAAAACTCGAGCCGGTGCCGGCGTAAATTTTTCTTTTTTTAATCGTTGTTGTTGTAGTTGTTCGGAAGGCTCGCCATCCAGAACCGACGCACGATGCGTGTGCCCGTGAAAGGCTTGTGTCCAAGGCCTCTACCCAATCAACCCATGGCATCATCTATCTGGTTTGGCACAGCGAGCACAAGGATGATTACCGGCTTCTGGTTCATCCTCGTGAAGCATAGCCGGAGCGAGCGAAAACCCGGCATATCGCTCCTCACCAGTATTGTAGGGATGCGAGGTCGATGGTCGAACGACTACGGCATGCGTGCACATCACATGAGCCCCCCTCCCCCCCTGCATGGTAGGGATGCGAGGTCAATGGTCAAACGACTACGGTATGCGTTCACATGGGTACCCCCCCCCCCCCGCGCTGCATTGTACTGACGCGAGGTCACGACTACGGCATGTGTTTACATGAGTACCCCCACCCCCCGTTCGCTTGCCCGACAGCACGTTGGGCATAACGACGTTCGTAGTCATCTTCTTCGGGAGCAACCTCATCAAGCACCTGGGCTGGCGGGCCGGAGCACTTGCGACTCCCGTGAGCATGGCGCTGCTGGCCGCGCCTTTGTTCGGGGTTGTCATAGCGTCCAAGGTGTGTGTGGTTGGCGCTAACGGACGGTTGGGAGTGGTGCGGAATAATGTTTGTTTGTTGAGGTGAAGGACGTATTTGTGTGTTTCGGCAAAGTTGTGTTGTGTATCGTTTCGTGTGTGTTTCTTGCTTCAAGAAGCATCGACCGCGCAAACCGGCTGGCCGCTGAGAATGCGTTAATCCGGTAGCGGAATGTGTGCATGTCTTCGTTCTTCCTGCCATCGGAATGATCGATTGACAACGTTAGGCTGAAAGGTGTGTTCGACCATGAAATTCGACTGACGAAGATGAAAATCAAGACAAGGCAACCCAGCTTTGCACTTGGTCTTGGTGTACGCAATCCCCTAATGCTTTGACCGACCTTCGTGGTACTCCTATGTTTTTTCGTTGCGATCGGTCGGTTTTTATCCGCAGGGAGACCTGGGAGGGAGGCAGCTAGCGTTCGCGGTGATGGTGGGAACGGTGCAGAGCGTGCTCAGCAAGGCTACCAAGGTATGAGGCAGACGAGAACACCGAAGAACGCGTTGAACCAATCGTTTATTCTCCCACTCACTAGCTGTAAGACTCAACACATCCCCTTGGGACAGTGGTATTGTCCCGAACAGGTATAATAATTCTTCTGTGTTTTATGTATGTTTTTTACGAAAAATCAAGCCAACGAAGGGAAGGTTCTGGTTCCTGATGGTTCCGTCAGAGGGGTGACGAGCTCGGAGTTCTGTTTTTTCTTTGTAAGCGTCCTTGGAGATGCAGATAATTTTTAGTTGCGCGCCTCTCTCATGATAGCTTGCCGAGCACCAGCGAGCGAATACGTACTTCTTATCGTTCTGTTCTTGGGGGTGTTGCTGTTGTCGTCACATTAGAACCGTTTTGATGTCTGCCCAGAACCGTCTACCATCCATACTGGTCCAACTACAGCGGGCGTCTTCCGTGGTGACAGGCTGACGACATTATCATTACAATACTCGAAACGGGGACAAATGATCAATTTTTTGAAGATCAAGGATTCGATGCCAGGTATGTACAAGAACTGTTTAGGTACGACTTCCAGCGATGATGAAATTCACCGCTCTTGACACGATTCTCAAATTGCATGAAACCGTCATTGCAACGCTTGCACGGGTGTACCGCACTCCACACGCGATACCACGGGGCCCCGGTTTAACGTACCCCCTCTACCCCCCTCGCCTTTCCCCGTCGTGTGGCCCCTTTGCAGTACGCTCTGTTTGATCCCACGACACAGATGGCTTACATCCCTCTCGACGAAGAGTCTAAGGTATCTGACGTTAGCACGTGTTGGCACTGTCATGGATGTACTGCTGGTTGGACATGGCGTGGGGTTGGATGTTTTTTGCTTTAACGTTCGGCGGTTTCTCGCCTTGGGGTAGTCGGGAAATGTGTCGAGCACGCCGTGGCGGTGTGTCGCGTAGGGGAGGCGTGCGCGTTGCGACGACGACGATTCGCGCTCGCACGGAACACGGAGCATACCACACCTGTCTAGTTCCATCTTATCGTTGGTGTTGGTGTTGATGTCACACATCTAACAGTTGTAACCTCTACCCGAAAGCTCTTCCCATACCATACCTTGTGTTCAAGAGACCGATTAATGCTGATGCCGTAAATTCCAGGTGAAGGGGAAGGCGGCCATAGACGGCCTGGGTTCTCGGCTGGGCAAGTCGGGGGCCTCGTTCATGCAGCAAGGCCTGGTGCTTGCCTTCGGAAACATCCTCAACGCTGCTCCCGTGGTTGCAGGTGTGTGCTTGTCCAAATGCTACAGTCGTATCCTAGACGGTGGCATTGTTCGCCGCCATGGTGTGTTGGTGTGTGGTTCGTTCACGGGTTCGGTTTTGATTTGATTGGCTGACAAATGCTGTCCGGCGAGGCTGAGACAGCAGTACCATATGAACGAACAGTGTCGAAGAACAGCAGCGTCAGAGAAACAGGATCGTAGAGAGTTTCCTGCCTGATGATGTACGGAAGGGAGAGAGAGTGGCGGCGGCGGAGATAATAAAATCACGCCTAGAAGATTTCACTTCTGGCTAATGCACGGTGATCTTGGCGTACTTTTTCTCGGTTGTGGTTCGGTGGTTTGTGCTGTAGGCGTTATTTTTCGTGCAGGGGAACGGGGACACGAGTCTGTCGCACCGCAGGACCCACACGACGGTCTCATCGTTCTTAGTCCACAGTTTAAGTGGCTCAAGAATGCCTTGCTCTTCACCCATTAACACACCCTCCCACCCAAACTTTACCCCTTTCAAGAACGCCTTCTCTTCACCCATCAACACACCCCTCCACGGGGGGTGATATCCATACGATAGATGGGATAGATGGGATAGATAGGATAATTTAGAGGACATTTTTTTAGGCACCTTTGGCAAGGTAGGAGGGAACGGTTGGCCATCGGTGATCGATCCTGTGGGAACAATGCTCCGACCTTTGGACGACGGACGCGTGGTCAATGGTCTAACCGCTAACGCATGCAAAACATAAGTGTAAGAGTACGCCCCCCCCCCGTCCTACCCCTTCCGTCTACCCGACCCCGGATATGTACGAAACGTGCAGTAATCTTCTACGCGGCCCTTGGGTCGTGGACCTACGGAGCAGTGCGGTTAGCGGACATGTTCGAGGCCAAGACGCGGCAGCAGGAGGGAGATCACAAGCCCAGAGCCATCCGCACCCGGGGCGGGGGTGGGCACGACCGCAGCAGCAGTACCGGGGGTCCCGTGGATGACGACGGTAGTAGCGGGGAGGAGGGGGCCAAGGGCCAGTGGTCGGCGCGGTATCAACCGCCCGCCAACCCCGCCGCGACAAGCGGGCTTCTTCACAGGAGGGCGACTAGTAGGGATTGTCAAGCGTGACGACCGCCGAGAGAAAATGGTGCGTGCGTCGGGGCTCTCCTTCATGGGGGGGAGGCTCATAGGGATTAGCAAGCGTGATGACCGCCGGTAGAAAATAGCGTCCGGAAGAGCATGCGCCGGGGCTTCTTCATAGGAAGGCAGCTATTTTAGTAGGGATTGGCAAGCATGACCGACGAGAAAAAATCGCCTGCGGAAAGGGTGTGTCATAAGGGCTGCGGCGTGGACCGCCCTACTACAGCAAAGTAGACGGTTTTGACCAAGGATAACACGTCAGCGGTTCCAAGTTTTGTGTTTTTTTCCGCCTGTTTCGGCCTTGTACGAGGCTGTGAAGCGAAAACCGCCGGACGCAGCTGCTGTTCGTCCGGAGCAGCGGGGGAAAAATTACATGTACCTGTCTAGGGGTTAGAAGTAGTGCTGCGTACATCCCCGCGGCTGCCTCGCTGCTCTTTCTGTCTGTCCGTTGTGTACGTGCGACGATTGGTGGAGTGAGAGGATCATTTTCCACCGTGTTCCCATGATGTTGTGGTGGTGACAAATTATCTTGGTATTTGCGATTTTCATGAACAGATCGCAACGACGTCGTAACCAGTAAAGCACGCCGATAACAGGTGATGCTAGGTACCGTAGAGAGTAGGTTAGATACAGCAGTCGAGGCTCCGATATAAGAGGGCGCTCCGAAATATGAGGGTCGAAATCGGTTGGCACGGACTCGACCCTCTATGTAGTATAGTTGAGTACTCTCTTCTTCCGGTATAAGAGGGGGCTCCGTTATGAGAGGGTCGAGGGCCTTTCTCACACCACCCTCTCTCTTAAATCTCAGCCACCACTGTAGCAGGAAGCGGACGTGTTGACCGTCAGACCCCGATACGACTTGGGCGTCTCGCACCTAGATTACGGTACATTTAGTTCCCCAAGGACTGCAGGAGAACCTCGTCGCCCGCACTAGAATACCTCAGCAGCAAAAAAAATGGGAGGCATGCAATGCAACACGCAGCATCTCCGTGGGGGAAACTCTCCGACACACCCTGTTGGTCGGCATCGAGTAGTGCAGCTTTTGGCTCTCGTTGTTTGCGGTTGCGATGGGGCATGTCTCAAAGACTACACATTTGAGTACCATGCACACTGCTGTCGGTATCTGCTGGTACCCTTGTTTGCCCATGACGTTCGCGCTTGTATGGGGCACTGCTATCTAGCCCGTGTTGACAGCAGCGGCTCATTTGTTGCGTATTTACTTTGTTCTCACCGACTAACGCCGACGCACCGCACACATGCAAAAAAAATACAAAAATATCAGTGCGTCGGCCAACCGCTCATCTAGATGCCTTACAAGAACAAATTCGTGGTGGGGCCTTACTTAGTGGGGGTTGTGCAACCAGGCAAGCTGCACAACGCGTTGACTGCCATGGCCCGCAGGCAATCTCTTTGCACCGTCCGTCCATCCCACATGCCTCTCAATGCCACCGACGAAAAGTCGCGCAACGGGCTCTGGAAAAAACATGCTTCCGCCGAGGGAAAACTTCTATCGGCACAAAGACACAAAAAACTCCAATGTCCCACTTTTCATGCGCGACGAATGTCGTGGTGTACCCCATGTTCGAAGCCGGATTTTCATCCCAAAACCCGTATCCCCACTACCATCATCGCCTAGACTTCGTGGAATCCCGTCTTCCGCCATATTCACGGGGCGGGTATTGTCAACACCCGTCCCAGCACGCAGTGCTCGTCTCTCTTCACCCCCTTCATATATCATCTCCCTTTCTGAGTCATCATGTTCTCCTAGCCCGATCGTGGCGGGTACCCCCCCTGTCCCGGGGGGGGCATGCCTCTCCCCATCGGCGGCATCCCCGGGTACCCACCACCCGGCATACCCATCGGGGGCCCCCCGTAGCCGGCCGGGGGCATTCCTCTTCCACCAGGAGGCATTTGTCCGGGGGGGCCGCGACCCATGGGGGCACCGCGGCCGTATGCCTGTGCTTGAGCGGACGCCGCCACTGAAAAATAAAAGAAGCAACGGAATGGACGGCGTGGTGTTAGGAGGAGATCGCTGCTCCAGACACATGTGTATATATACGCTACATATATTTGGCAGGCACAAGACGCATTTCATGACATGTACTGATGGGAAAAGAAAAGAAGGGGTCGCTGTTTGTTGTCGGTGTGTAATCCACGGACGAGCAGCTGCGCTGCTTTTCTTGAATGAGGATCACTGCTACACGCATATTCTATAACCTACCGCCGGCACAGGACCGACACATCTGTCTGGTTGCTTCAATTGCACGTGACCACTGTTCCACATGCCACCCGATTTTCATGCCACAGTCAGGCGGGCTGACAACAATCATTTCCACGGAAAGACACGCACGAACGAAACCCCCGCTTGGTGGAACGATTACAATTTAACCGTGGAACTCGGGGTTCGCCATAAGCAAATCGACAGAAAGAAAGAACCGACACTCGCCTGCCTGGGGCTGCATCATCGAAGACGCCGGCCCGCCGATCCCCCTCACGGGCCCCGCGAGACCCCGGGGCGCGCCCTGCACCGGCATCGTGGGTACCCCGCGCCCCGCCGCCCGGCCCACCCCGGGGCCCCCCGGGGTCGCCTTGCCCGTGTCCTCCGCCGGCGGCGGGCCTTCCACGGTGAGGGACTGGACGTTCTCTCCGCGGAGTAGGACAAGCCCCAGCACTCGCTTTTCTTCCCGCTCTTCGTGGATGCCGGCGGCTGCCTCGGAGCCCTTCTTGGGCTTGAACCTACGGTACTCTTCGCAGTCGCCTAGTACCTGATGGTATCAGCACCGGCCCCGGCCCCGCCCCGTGAGCGGCGTTGTGAGAGGGAAGGCGAGTGAGTGTTTTGTTGGCGGCGGGTTGCGTGGGATGAGGCGTTTGAGTTTCAAGTGTTTTGTTGGCGGCGGGTTGCGTGGGATGAGTCGTTTGAGTTTCATGTGAGAGGGAAGGCGAGCGAGTGTTTCGCTAGTGGGGGTTGATTGGGATGGCTTTAGAGGCTTTTGAGTTTCATGTGAGAGGGAAGGCGAGCGAGTGTTTCGTTTGTGCATCATGGATCTTTAGGGAGAGTGTGGTAGGTGGGAAACAGGTCTACAGGGGGTGCTGCTAAAGCCCCTAGATTCTAGGTAATGGGTAAGTAGGGATGGCTGGCGGTTTCAACATCAAGTAACGCTCGTGGTTGCGAAAGAGGTTTACCGCGAATCTTGTCGAGCTCTGCAAGCGCTATGGCGTCACCAACAACTACCACGAAAAAACTAATGCTTCACAAGCAATGACACCAAGAAACCGCAAATGTTGTCCACAAATTAGATGCCCCACCATAGAGAGAGGCGACAGGAAATAGCTCCAGCAGGAGCGCACCTCGGGCCACACTCAAACAGCAGCCCCATGGGTGAAGAGCAACACTCACCAGGTTGAGGTGTCGGTCGAAGGCCATGAGGGTCCCAACAAGCACTCGCCCATCCAGGATGGTGATGCGCATGCGGTAGTTCACGTACTGCAGCATCTTGCTGCTCCGAGACATCGACTGCAGCACGCGACGCGGCAGGGAGCGAAATGACGACACCGTCAAGAGCAAAAATGAATCAGAGGACAGAAAACCTTGTCAAGAGTCTAAACATACCCAAAAGAACACACGGAGAAGAGAAGGCTTCTGCTCTAATCGCAAGGTGGGTGTGTCGACATGCTGAGCCACCGCTGTTACTACGCAGTCGATCGCACTCAACAACATAATCGAAAATGATGCGGGGCGGTCTCCCTGGCTCAGCGCGACGGCAAATTCGCTGTCCGCACGGTTAGCACGGTTCGTTTGGCGGCTGCGGGGGGGAGTCAAGACTATCCGACAGCTGCTGTATGTAATGCAGTCAACCTCGTTCAGACACCCGTGAATTTGAAAACTATAAGCAACAGTAGTGGGATGCACACGTCTACTCTGCAGAAATTAGCAAATTTTCTCCAAGATACAGCCGAAGATCAGATAGGTAAATCGTCTCTGGAGATCGGGTAGAGCCAAACACCCAGCGTTGTTGGTGGTTGAGTCAAGTGTCGACAAAGCAAGCAAGCAAGGGGGCACCAGGAGTAGCCGAGGAGCCAACCAGCTGGTGAAGCGGCAGGCAGAAAAGAAAAAAGCAAACAAAACGCCGTAAGATGGCAATAGCCGAAACAACAATATATGAGGGCACAGTCGGTGCGGGTGTTGCGTGATCCGACCATCCGCTCAACTCAGCCAACGCGCGGTCGGGCTGCCTGCTGTTGTTGCCCACGACACAGCCGCGCAATCAAACACTCGTGTCCAGGAATGAACAACAGCAGCGTCGACTGGCAGACCTGGCCATCCCCTTTCGCCTTAACCACACATGGTCGGGGAACACCGGCATGATGCCCAACCACCAAGATCGACCTACCAGATTAGCCACGACGAATGTTGCACCCACTCACCATGGCGCAGCTTTGTTCGGGAGACCTCCAAGCTTAGCAACAACCGACAGCAATATCCGCCCCTCCTCGCCCCGCGCTCGAAAACACCGCTCGGATTTCCAGCCTCGTCAAAAGCTCCAAGAAAATTGAACCAATGCGGCCGTGACAGGATTCGCTGCTGCTCTTTCGCGTCGCTGTCCACTGGTTACGTGGTATCTCTCTCTCGCTCGCTCGCTCTCTAGCCCTCGCTGCTGCTATGGTTGCCTGGCTGACCTCTGCTCGTGCTACGCCGCTGCCCCGCCAATTTTCGGAGGGTCCCCGCTGACAGAGAATCATATACCCCGTTCTCCGACCAAGGAACCCCCAAGGCCGATTTTTGGGCGCGCCACCACGCAGAGAGGGGGAAGAGCGCGACCGGGATAACCACGGAGGCGGGTGAGTCCAACATCAGGGTGGTTCCTCTCGTGTTGGGGTATCGAGCGCGTGGAGCCTTGTACAATAAAAGGGGCTGCTTCGCTGACAAGGGAGAGAGCGCCGTGCCCCTCTTTTTTCTTTTTTTTCGTTGCTCTTGCTCTATGCATAGTTCTCCTCTCACCTCTTTTCAAGCGACCCCCCTCCGTCTACGAGCATTTATAGGGCCGGATCGCAAGCGCGTAGGCAGTTTCGTAGCTTTCACTTCGCGAACATAGTCCGTTACCAGGCGTTCGTCCCACGCACCAAGCGGTCTGGCTCTGCCTCTTTACGGATCGCCGGATTTTTGTCCATCATGGTGAAGTGATTTTTTTTTTGCAAGTTGGGGCAGATGCACCGCCGCCGCTGTATGAGGTGCCAGACGTAGAGGTCAAGGTTGATGCAAGCGCGTGTGGCATCTCGATTCCGGTGCTGGTCGAGGAGTCAAGATTTTGAATTCATTGGTTTGGATCTACGGTCCTTCCTCTGGTCTCATGATCTGAGACCTCGATTGCAGGATTCGTGGGCATGGTAAAAAGTGGGAAGAGCTCTTTTGAGGTGGCAAAAAAAACGAGGTGTCTTTGCATGGACGGAGATAGAGGGATGTTTGGTGTAACGCCGCAAGTGTACTCGACTCGCACTGCTGTGGGTGTGTCATGTATCGCTGACGGCGGAACTGAGCACGCCGCCCTCACACGCGATACCTCCTGTTGACCTTGAGAACGCGTCGCGCGTAGAAGGGTCTTGATTTAGGAGCAGGTGCAGCCTCAAGCGTTGTTCGACCCTCAGCAAGTAGCCTGAGAGCCACCACGAGTATTTAGTGTAGGCTAACGCTCGCTCGTGTAAGAATACAGCATCGTTTCGCCCGCATGAAGAAACCAGCCGCTTCCGAGCGAGCTCGATTCTTCCCCTCCTATAGCCCGATACACTGCTCGGAACTCCAGACCAGCGGTGCTAGTTCAGAACGACGTTGACATGCGGTTGACGGAAAACATGACTACATATGCACTCACCATGCATACATACGAAACCTCTAAATAAACTTTTCTGTACCAGCGCAAATATTCACCCGCTCTTCTGTCTGACTTTGAATTTGTAGGCGAGATTAACAATCGCCCAGTTGTCGCTTCGGTCGTCAACGATACTGTATCTTCTTGTACAGAACGCGTAACCTTGTGTGTTTGCTCCCAAGAAAAAAATGTCGTACTTCGAAGTATGCATAACAAGTCTACAGCAGTTGTAATGGCGACATATGTGTGCTCCTCCCCCCAGCTAAATACGAATACCAACATGCCCCTGACTTACCTCGAAACCCACGATGGCCCGGTGCGCCCTGCCCACTCCTGGAGGAGCCGTCGCCAGCTGGCATGACTCTCTGGATTCGGAATAGTTTGAAAAAAACCAAGTGTATTCACGAGCAGAACTAGTGCTGCAGGCCGGGTGAAGGATCCATTGGTTTGATTACCCTACCTACGACGTTTTTTTTTTTTTACCCAGATAGTGTAGACTACGGATAGGATCGCCTCCCAACTGTCCCCAGACCTCCGTGCAAGGTGGTCAGCGGCTGGGGTACGGTTAGCTTTATTTTCTTTGAGGACTTTGCTGGGGGTGTTTTGAGTCGTTATGTGTCTTCGAAATGGCGTGTTGCTCATCACCCGGAGGTCAACATCGGCAGCAGCAGCAGCAGCAGCTCCACCGCCTGACTGACAAACTCCACACCTTTCCTGCTTGCGCCTCCGTCCCTCCCCCCCCCGCTTTGACCGGAAATAGCTGCAGCTGCCCATGAATGACGCATCGGGGTACGCCGGTGGTGCAGGGGGGTTTGGTGGAGGATTTAGCATGCATGGCATGGGGGGAGCGGGGCGAGCAGGCATGGGGCAGGCGGGGGCAGGCGGCGGCGGCGGTCAGATGGTGAGGAAGGGGCCGTAGATAATCGTTATTGAGCGCGGTTCTGAAGCGAGATGTCGGTCGCAAGGCAGCATACCCGCCACAGAGAGGCCTATGTGTGTGGGGGGGGATTTTGTTTCGCGTTGTTGAGATTTTTGCTTTTTCCAGAGGAAGGGCTCGTTGACTTGTTTCGCTTGTTGGGACCCTTGCGATAATCATGCGCACTTGGATGCGTGGCTCGTTGGCATTGCCTTGGTGTGCATGACTTGTCTTTTACATCATGTTCTACGGGATACTTGAAAGCCGGGCTTGCAGAGTCCCGCGCTGGCTGTCGCGGTGCCGTTGCGCTGTCCTTCTCCAATCGCCTATGTTGGTTTGGCACGTCAGTTGTACATTTCCAGATCAGCACCAAGCGCACGTACCGGTCGTTTTAGCACTGGCACCGCCGTTGTCGAGCTTGGCTCGAACCGTGCCACCGCCCATTCGCGGAAACACACCATCTTTTCCCGCATACATGTGCATGTACATGTCTTGCTCAAGCCATGACACCAACCCTTGCGTCCTGTCTTTTCCTCTCCGCTTCTACCGTAAGCGATGCTCACCGTCGAGTACCGAAACACCATGCAGCTGACACTCTCGCTATGTTCACGCCAAACCACCACAAACCACCACGCGCACACTCCCCAACCAGCCGACAGCCTTCAGCACGCTATCAGCGAGAGCCGGAGGAGGCGCGCCCGGAGCTCTCGGAATGCCGGGAGCAGCAGGAGCAGGAGCAGGAGCGGCGACTGCGGGCGGAGCGCACGGCCAAGCCCTCGGCGGGGCCGGGGGCGGCGGCGGCGGCGGCGGCGCAGCGGGAGGCGGTAACGGCGCGGCGGGCGGGGCCGGCGTTGCCCAAAGAGAAGGGGGTGCAGGTGGCGGCGGCGGCGGCGGTATGTACATGCAACACCCGGCGGCACCGGGGGGAGGAGCAGCAGCAGCAGCAGGTCAACGGGCGATGCAGGACGGCATGCCTTACCCGGCGACGGACTTGCTCTCAACTGTCGGCAACAACAAGGGTAAGTGAGGAGTGAGGAGCCGTCGTTGTTGGCTTGGCAACAACATGCGGACCGGTGATGTGTTTGGTGTTCTGGGATGCTTGAGTCGAACGTCAATGCCCCCCTTGGGCGATTGTTGATCTCTAGGATACGAACCACGTTGGCCAAGACATAACTTGTCTTGTTTCTTGGCAGTGTGGACGTGAAATTCTGGTGTGGTTTTTTTGGGAGTCCTTCATCGCTGTAAGGAAAGCACCCCCACCAAAACCACAGAGTCATGAACATGTTTCGGGAACGGAAGGGCTTCGCGGAGGGTGGACGTGACGCGAATCATCACAACTTTCATGCGGCGCGTTTTTTGTCTCACGGTGTTACGTTTTATAGATGCGTGCATGCTGAGTCAGAACTCCCGCGTGGCAATCGTTGCAGGCGTTGTAGCCATTTTAGGCGTTTTTCCCGTCACCTTTTACGAAGATGGCTGTTGCAAGTCGAACGGCAGAGAAGAGGGGTTCCGGCGAAAATCTTGGTGCAGTCGGCGCAAGAGTGCTGAATCGCTTTAGTTTGTTTCGGTGCCGTACTGCGGTGGCGTTCCTGGTGCGTCAGGCTGCCCTGGGTGCTGGCGTAATTAAATACGTGGACGTATCGTATACCCTGTTGCTGTACTACGGGTGTGTTCCTGGTGGAATCGTGTCCTGGCTGGTTTGGGTGCTGGCATCATAAGATGTGCGGACGTATTCCTTTGCCGGATGGGATAGAAGAGATCCTGATTTACTCGTGTCAGGCTTCCCTGGCTGATGAGGTGCTGGCATCACTTGACATGCGGGCTATTTACTTTCGCAGGATGGGATAGCAGTAGATGTAAATGAGATCCAGATCTCATTGGCAGGTGTTCCCAGTCGGACGAGGCGGTACGGGCTCGTTTTTTGTTGTCGTTTTCGTCTGTTTTTGGAGGCTTCCCTTCCTTGTGTGCTTGCTCGTCCCGCTCTCTCAATCAATGACGCACTGCGTCGGGCCTCGTGGGATGTCTTCGATGAGGACCTTTGAGACCTCTCTGGTTGACTCCACCTCTCTCTTGTTTCGCCATTTGGACACCTCTCTCGGTTGCCTACACGTCTGTTTAATGACGCATTTTTAAAACCTCTCTGTTGTCTGCACGACTCTGTGTGGGGCACTTTTGTCGACCTGACGATTCTCTGACTGCATGCCGAATTGACATCCATAACGTTGGTCAGGTCTTGCCCAAGTCGGTTCATTTTCCGTTTTGTACCGTTTTCCACAGATGCTGCTCCCAGCGTCTATTTCCCCGCACCACGCCACGTCTCTGAAGCTCCAGATTGCGTTCGTAAGATCGGGCTGCCTCGATCCGGACCTCCTCCACACGCCCCTAATCTCCCACGACGACACGCCCATTCTCCCAAGCAGGCGCAACAAATATGGCATCCCAACGCCTGAACGCGGGGCAGCTCGCGATGGACGGAGCAGGGGCGGGCCTAACCCCGTTCGGTGGCGGCGGCGGCGGCGGCGGCGGCAATGACCTTGGCGCGCATGGCCTCGGGGGAGGCGGTGCGGCGGCGGGTAATGGCGGCGTGAGCGGGCTGGGGGCCGGGCTCGGCGGGGGTGCGCCTGGCGGACACTCTTCTCTGTCCTTTGACATGAAGGTAAATGGTCACCCATTGTACAGCAGTATATCCAAACACGAGGGGGTGCTCCCTTAGGGTCAACCAAGACTTGCACCGAAAGGCCTCTTTTACGGCTACAAGGACACAACGCCTAGGGGACACGTGCGCTACTCTTGTGTATGTAGCGTTGTGGATCCCGCGTGGATGAGAGGGTTGAGTTGGGGTCGGGGTGCGGATAGTGTAGTGCACGTGGCGGTGCATTGCCCGCGCGCGGAAGGTAGGAAGGTGGAGAGAGTTACAAGAGCTCGCTAGGCGCCTTGGACCGTTGACAGTGGGGCATGGGGGTGCTCAAGGAGAAGATGAGGAGTGTGCACTAGTTGTCGCAAGGAATGTGCTTGTCCTCGTCGTACACTGGCATTAAGGTGGTAAACGTTGTTCGTGTCTGAACACCCTCCTCTTTTGTGATTGCCCTGTCTTGAGCGGGAAATGCGCACGGGGGCTTGGATTAGGCAGGAAGATCATGGCTCCATCCTTCGACATAGACGGCGTAAAATATGCACCGGAGTGTGTTCTTCCAAGAGGAATATTATGTGCTAATATAATAGATTTACCCTCCGACCTCATTGGTTCCACGAGACGGAGACATGGAAAAATGTAGCATGTATTCAGTTCGCCACGAAAGACTCTTCTCTCCTTAGGTTTCAGATTCATTGGGATGTGTGGAAACCCAAATAGGAAGGGGGAGACACCTCTGCTGGATGCTGGGCGTATGCTGCTCAAGTTTTCGTCCCGAACGATGAGTCAGCCGTCGTGCTCACGTATCTCCCCATCCCCCCCCCGGTTTCTGTTTCCCACCCCCAAACGTGCCGCCCGCCGCGACCAATTGTTGGCCCTGTACTGGATGGGATCGGGCGTGTTTTTCAGGAGTTCCCCGCCCTTGGCAGTGGCATGGCAAACCTCAACTTGGGGGGAGGCGAAGAGGGATACTCTCGACAGGTAGATATACTGCTGTACAGCAGTATGGTCTCGTCGGCTATTGTCTGTGTCGACCCTCTGTCGGCGTTGTTGTTTCTGCAGGGATCAGAGTGTAGTTGGTTGTCTCGGCCCTGTGTCGAGCGTTGTTTTCGTGTCCGTGGGGGCCAGATAAGTGGTGGGAGGAGAGGATTGGGGAACGATCATGTCTGTGGCTGCTGCCAGTTTGCTGTTGCTGCTCTTGTTGTTGTTTGTCAAGCGTTTCTGCCAGGGAACAGCTCTCGTCTATGACCGCTCTGTGTCGTATCTTAAAAATGCCTCGGGTACTGCATGTATATTTGCATCTATGTATGTATGTAGTGTTGCCGGTCGAAGTCGCCGTGTGATGCTACGGACGCCAAGGCCTGAGATAGAATTGTGTTGTGTTCGGTGTAGGACGGCGATGATCTAGGATAACAAACCTTTCGACGTGAAATCTTCCGTGGCCTCGGCAGCATCGAAGTGACGACGCGATTAGTGTTACTCTTGCTGCATGCAAAACCGTGAAACCATCCTGCTGCTGCTGCTGCCGTGCCCGGCGCGCCGTACCTCCTCCGACCCTTGTGACGCGGACCAACCCTTTCGACCATCTTCGTTGCTGTCGGTGCCTTGCGGTGCGGCGGGATCTCAACGATGGATCATGATGATGACGTCATGATGACGTATGTGATGGCGTCATCCGATGTCTTCCGGGCAGGCCTACCGAGGCGAGCCGCAAGGATTCAGCATGCAGAGCGACGACTTCCCCGCACTGCCCGTGGCCGCTCCATCTGCAGCAGGTATGGTTGGGGGTTAGGCCCGCAGACAAAAGTCAGAGACAAGGGGGAGGGGGGTGCTCATGTATTGCATGCCTTAGGTGTTAGGCCAGGAGGAGGGGGCATGGAAAGAGAGGGAACACGATCGCTCGCTGTAGACGAGGAATTCTTGGGTGTAGACGCGGAATGAAGTGAACGAATGCATATCGTTAGTATGTTGGGTGGTGTTTGATGTCCTAGCCGATGTTCGCGTTGGCCCTGAGACACCATCCGGTTTGGTGGACCTTCTAGATATTGATTTTTTTTGTTGGACTCTTCCGAAAAAAACAGTGTTGGCCTGTAGATGGCTTTTAATTGTAGATGATCAACTTGACATCCTCAAAATAGACGCAGAAATGCTATGTGCCGTGAGGCGCAACATGCTGCAACGGTCAGTTCGACACTCCACCCGACACACAATCCCATGGCTCCGCCCCTCCCTGCTTGTGTCTGTTTTTCTTCTGGTGCTTCGTTTGTTGTCGCTTCGCGTGGCCGGCGGTGATTGGGCGAGACAGGCCCAACAGGCTCTTCGGCGCTTGGCGGAGCCACCTTCCACCCGCCCACGGCCACTGAGGGCATGGGCGCTGGGGCCTTGAGAGGAGCGCCAGGGCAGGTGGGTGATTTACTTCCGTCATTTTGCTTCCGTTTTCTGATGGCTGCAGGACCGTCTGTGTTGCACTTGATGCGAATGATGTAACTCGCTGAATGTCATGGTCGAAAACGACCGGTTTCTCATCTCCAGGCTGCTTGCTCATTGCCCAAGGCATGAATTGTTGCATTTCATGACAAGCCAGTTGGCCGCTCTCCAGTTGGAGAGCTCTTGAAAATGGCTGATACGCCTGAGGGCATGGGTACACAGCTGCAAATATATCACACAGCACGCGCTTTTGTGCCCTGTGAACAATGTTCAATGTCGATGGCCGTCATGTGGCGGATTTCTGCGGCTTTTCAGTCGCTTTCCAAGTCCTATAACAGTAACAACCATCTTCCAAGGGCGACAAGGGGGTGGCATCACGAAGGAAGATTAAGATTCACGATTTTGAGTGCTGGGCTTGTTTCCAACACTGACTCTCTGTCTCCACTTTTTACGTCAGCCTTGCCTCCTAGTAGTGACTGGCGTGTTTGGGGCTACGTTAAAGCTCAGGTTCACCCAGGTACTCCTCCTTTTCATGTTTGGACGCGCGTTCCTACTTGTTCGTTTCTCTACACAATTTATGTCTAAAACACCAAAGCACGATCACGCTGCAATGCATGGTATCACTATGTCCTCGTTCGGCTCTCGCCACGGCTGCGAAAACTAGCGATAAGCCCAGTATCCAGCAGGTTTTTCTCCCACCCACTAAAAGACTTCAACACATCTCCTTCGACTGTGGTTATATCTCGAACGGGTAGCCTTATCTTAGTGATCGTATGCAGATATTTCGAATATTTTGAACAAGCGGCTTTTTTTTTTTGTTTTTCTTTCAGCCAAGGCCAATGGGGCCGGGAATCGCGGGTGGCCCCACCGCAGCGGCAGTAGTGGCTGCGAGCGAGGGGAAGGCGAAGAAGTACGGGCTGCTGGGCTTGCTGGGGGTCATCCGAATGACAGATCCAGATCTCAACACCCTGGCTTTGGGATCGGACCTCACGACGGTGGGGCTAAACCTTGACAGCGCAGAGGTGAGAATTGACTCTGTCTATTCTTTGTTAGCGTGTGTCTTTCAGTGTGTCATCGACCGCAGGAAGCGGCTGGCCAAATGAAAAGAGGCCAGTGTCAGTGAGGCTGAAAACTTGTAAATTCTTCGAAGGCAATGATTTAGAACCCTGTGAAGAGGCGTCGTGGGGGAGCCTAAAACTAGATGCACTCTCCGGACTTTTTGTGCTGTGTTTTATTGTAGTAGACCGCACTAACCGGCTGACGAATGAATATATATATATATTTTCTCAGTGTGGCTAACAAATGAAAAACGCTTCTAAGGCCATGGTCTGGTCTGGGGTCCTATGTGTGTTGGGGTATTTCTTTGGCTGGCATCGACCGGGCTAGCCGGCTAATCAATAAAATCACGTCCGAGTTTTAGTGGGAAAGACGTACTATAGTAAATAGTGGTATATAGTAGTCACGCGAGTGTTTCCACGTCTTCTCGGTCAAGCATGGTTCGGAGTTTTGGAGATGAAGGAGTGGATGGGTTGTTGCTGTTGTTGTTGTTGTCTTCACATTAAAAATCGGTCCGATCTCTCTCTACCCAGTGCACTGTGATGAACATGGCTGTCGTGACATACAGCAATGCATGCGCCTACAAGGCGGCCTTTGTGACAGTACATGTCTATTAGACTTTTTTGTGCCTGTTGGGTGTTCGACTTGTCATGAAACATATTTTCCTGATATTCCCCCAGGAAGGTTTATTTGTATATCGACAGACCTTTTGAGAAATATGCTGCGGGAAGATCATAATTTGATGATAATTCCTGTAGCAGAAGGTTTAATTGTTGGTCGACGGAACTTTCGAATATATGCCGAGGGAATACAAAAACAATTTGATAACCCGATTTCACACTTTTGTTCTCCCTTGCTTGCTCGTGGCTGGAGGAAGGTTTGAGTGTTTACCGGCGAACCTTTTGATAATAGGTGGATCTAATAGCTTGATTTGCACGCTTCTCTCTCCCCTGCTTGCTTGTGGGGGCGCGAACAGGTGTTGTACGCGTCGTTCGCGAGTCCGTGGGCAGAGGAGCCGGCGACACCAGAACCCCAGTTCACCCTTCCGTCGTGCTACTACCTACAGCCCCCGCCGTTGAAACCTATGCACTTGAAGAACTTCCAGCTCGAGACGTTGTTCTACATCTTCTACTCTATGCCGCAGGACGTGTTGCAGGCGAGTTCTCTCTTACTATAGTTCGTCGTCTTGATTTGTTTTTCCGATGTGTGCTCCGGATGGTAAGAGTTTTGTTGCGAGTGCTGCAGAGGGGAAGGAAGCTACCCGCTCTTGTAAGGGTCTCGGTGTCGTATGTTTCATACCAACACCGACACTCAGTTTTCACCCCCCCCCCGCCTCTTGCATGCTCTGTCCTCTCGAGGACGTGTGGTCAATGGTCTAGTCGCTAAGGCATGCAAAACATGAGAGAGTGCGCCCCCCCCCCCCCCCCCCCCTTTCCCCCCAAGTTTCCTTTTGTTTTTCCCTCCGACAGGGATACCCGGGGCAAGAGTTGCCCCCCCGCGAATGGGGGTTTCAATCCGTGGCGAAACTGGGGGTCAAGAGGGGCGGGGCCGCGGAAGGGAACGTGGCCCCCAACGGGGAAAATATCTACTTTGACCTTAACCAGTGGCAACCCCCGTTCTTCCCCGGGAACCTCCAAATAGAATGTGAGTCCAGCCC